ACCTTAATGGATCGAGTTTCTTGATTACCCGGTCCACTTCTTGAAGTTTCGGATGGTGACCTGGCTCTGATATCATGTTGAGACTATGAGCCCGCAGACATTAAGTAATGAATGAGGAATGCAAAAACAAATAATCTGATTGCATTGAACCAAAAAGTTCTGCACAGCCACTATTTATACACAAAACTGAAGGTAAAATAAAGACAAATACAAAAATATCCCTCACATAACTTCAATAAATGGCAAAAATATTTTGAAACTTTTTCTTTAAGGGTGTCTGGCATTTTAAACTTTTTTTAGAACATTTTTATTTTAAAAGTTTCAAAAACAAAGTATTTCCATCGTTAAAAATCACAAACGTTGACCGTTAATTAAAGTTTGACTACAATATTTTATGATTTTGCCCTCATTTGTCTATATTTTTTGATCTTTTTGTTTATTAGAAGAAGAAAACTTAAAGAATTCACTGGAGAACAAAATTAGAGATTAAATATGGAAGGAATAAGGGGAAAAATACAAAAATATCTTTGGTCAAATTTTAGTCTAACAGTCAATGTTTGCTATTTTTAACGGTAGGGCGAAAATGTTCTGTTTTTAAAACTTTTAAGACAAAAATACTTTAAAAAAAGTTTAAAATATCAGATGTTTTTGCAGAAAAAGTTTCAAAGTATTTTTGTCTTTTAGCCTTGTTTTTTCCACAAAAGGGAATGAAAATATAGTACTAAGTACTAACAAGAAAGGCCCCCCCCCCTTTTTTTTGTGTGGTAATCAATGGATTGGGGATGCCAAGACAAGTTCAAAGACAAGACAGTAGCGAGCAGCATGCCCAGTTCTATTTTGTTCCTCCAAGAATGGGGTGCACCGTAAGAATGATCAATGAATTGGCCTAGTTAGTAAGTATTTAATCATAATTTATAAGATTATGAGTTTAAATTTTACTGTCAATATAAAAATTTTGGTAGTGGAAATTGTTAGTGAGCTCCTATAACAGGACTCACATAAATTTTTGAATTTTGATGTTGTACAAAGAAATAAGAAAGGAAGAGGCCAATAAGAAGACTGTGCCGTAGTCTCTCAATGCGCTTAATTTATTGTTTCCAATATGCGTCAGAGCTGTCTCTAGTCACCAATGCAGGCGTTTGTGTGATTGGATTCTCCCATATATACACACCTGAACAGTACACCCTGCCCTGCAATGACGATAAAATGGAAGACTTTACAATGGGAGAGGAGTTTCTCCTCTTCTTTCTCCCATTTTTCCTCCATTTCTCTAATCTCTACCTTTCATTCATTTTATAATTTTAAAAAATTATTTAATAAACCAATAATGAATGATAAAGATTGGGAAAGTGGAGGGAAAAGGAGAGACTCCTCTCCCCTTTACAACATGCTTGTCCGTGCCTAAAATGTATGAATAACTATTTTTTACTTTTATTATTAAAAATACTTGTGCCTAATTAGTAATAATTTCTTTGCCAAGCAAACCACATCTCAAATTGTCATTTAACGTTACAACTTACAACTCACAACGTTGCTTATCCAAATAAACACGTGTCAATCTCTTAGATGCGTTGCTTTAACCATTATTGTGCCTAAAATGTATGAATAACTATGGGTTTGAACTTAACGTTCTCATAATTGAGGAGCCTCACTGCGTTAAATGTGCTTCAACTTGAGTGTTGATTTTGATTCTTAGTCTAAGACCTCAATTATAAAGGATGTCTTAAATTATTAGGTTTTATTTAAAATGCTAGTTATTTTATGCCCACATGAGGAATACATATTTCTGTAAACATCCCCATATTTGCTTTTTCTCAATGATAAGTTATCTTCATTCAACAAGATTAATGAAGGGAACTTCGAAGATATTGAAACAAAATCTTTCCCACTTCTCATCCAGCAACGAGGCCCGACAATCAAAAGATAGTGATCCACAAATTCTTTGTAAAGTGCTTGGGATTCGTCCACACAATATATTCATTTGTCAACAAAGTTTCTGTACTAAAAGTCTAAAAGAATTGCAGATGATAAAAGGACAATGTTGTTTGTCACCCAATAATCCCCAAGTTCATCACTTTGACGTGGATTCTCAATCAGAGAAGAACCGATTGGCCGTATTATTTTTCATAATCTTGGACTTACTTAGTAGCCACCCTTAAAGATAATGATAATGTGTTCTAAGCTAATTTATCACAAACACATGCACTTAGCTGAAATTAATTGTACACGATGTTTCATACCAGACAGAAATGATGAGATGAAAAAAGCTACTCCAGACTCAATCAGAGATATAGATAATATCAAAAAGGAAAATTGCCAACAAAAAGCCACGTCACCGTGTCCCATTACTTTACCTAAAGTCGTTAATTCCTGACAAAGAAGCATAAACTAACATGCCGGTGATTTTACCAATCAACCCCTGCCTTGATCTATATAATTACCATGAGATTCATTTTTGCTCTGCGTACAGTCACAGAACTCAGCATCTCACATATTCTCTGAGGTCTCCAAGACTTGAGCTCAAAGGATCTTATTCAAATGAAGAAGATTCACACCATGGATCATCTGTATTTATATTTCTTGACAATTTTAACCTGCAGCGTCTTCTATTGCATCACTTCTTGCCTCCCTTATCTTTCTTCACTTGTGAAGCTCGTCATCTTCGTGTTAATTCCTGGTTTTGCTTCGATCTTGTTAAGCTCAAAGATGTTGTTTATCATAAGCAACCTCATCATTCTGGCCCTACTGGTAGACTCCAGAATCTTCTCTCCGCATCATGCCTCTTCGACCACTCATGTGTACTTCTGTGACGAATACGTCAATAGCAGCCAGAATCAATGGCCTCAGGCTCCAGCTTCTCATTTCAAGAGATCAAAGAAAGAAGAGAAATGTGTTGCAGAAAAGGTGAAGAAGATGAAAAGGGAAGGAGGTGAAGCGCAAAGTGTGGTTGCAGCTTCTGACGAACTGAACAAAAGGGCCGATGAGTTCATTGCGAGAGTCCTCAGGCAGAGGAGGCTTGAACTTAGCCATCTAAAACGTGACAGCTTCGTATAATTAAGAATTTGGAAAGTGTAGTGATACGGAGGTTAACACAGTTGCCGGTGGAAAAAGAAGAGTCAGCATTGTTAACGGCTTAATGGTATAATGACTACTTAACAAATTACTACTATTACAATTTCACCCTCTCTTTCGTGTCTTCCCTCTTTTTTTTTTTTTAACGAATTAATATAAATTAAATTAGTATTTGTCATGTTGAATAACTTCTATAATTAACTCCGTCTATATGTCATAGCTAATCTCAAGTCAAAAAAGAAGATGATGTTGGGTTCTCGGCAACATAGAATTTTATCCAATTTCACATGCATATGAATAGTATAATTTAATGGCGTATTTTGATTAACGAGGATCTAAATTTATATTTGAATTTGAATCAAATGTTTCATCTGCATAAAAATTTTTTTATAAATTTAAATTTAATTCTAATTCATTTTAAATTATAATTCTTTTTTAATTTTAAATTTTTTCCACGTCCTAATTATTTAAAATCTTAATTACTTTTAATATTTTCATCTCTTCGTTTTGTTATTATTAATACTTTTATAACTTTCGTATTTTTTTTATCTCTTATTAATTAAAAAATAAAAATAAAATCATCATTTTTAATTTTTTTATTTTCATTTTGAATATATGTTCTTCTCTTTTCTTTATTTAAAATTTTTAAACTATCCAAATAAATAATTCTAAATATATAGATTTTAAATTTAAATTTTAAATCCAAATTTAAATCTATGATTACTATATTAGCGTTGTGCAATAGCCTTACCAATTAATGAAATGAGATTTGTTGTTGCCATTGGCAAACTTAACTTATATAATTGATCTATGATTAACGAGTGTCCGCCGGAGCAACTTCCTCGTCGAGCAGATTCCATTTGCAAAAGCAGAGCAACAAAGTCACTTTGTCCTACTTTGTAGATTTTGCATATATTTTTTTGTTCAACGTTGTAGTTATTCTAATTTTTTTATTTTTTAATTACTCTCATCTCTTTTCTTAACTCTCAATCTATTCTTTTACAAATTTAAAAACTGAATTAAACTCATTATTTCCTATCTTTTATTTTTATTTTTAATCTAGACTTTTCTTTAGTTTTCTTTTATAATTTTTAGTACTATTAAAAAAACTTAAATGCATGAATTTTAAACATGAAACTTTAAATATTTTCTCCAAACCAAAATATAAATAATTATTAATTAATTTACATTTTTCAAATAAAGATGATTAATAAATTAATTTTCTAAAAATTTTGCATATCTTTGAATAAAATAAGGAATTAATGAGCATCATAAACCCAACCTTTATATTAGAGAAAACTATCATTTTTTAAGGGTTAAAATAAATGCCTTATGGCTCATAACTTTAAAAGTAATGACTATTTTTTTTAATTTAACGGTAAGACTTTAAGTGTTCAAAATTTAGAAGTTGAAAAATTTTCTTACACATTTTAAAAATTTTAAATTTAGGATACTATTTATGCAATAATTTAGAGTCTAGTGCTCATTAATCTTAAAATAAATATAATATTTAACTTACTCAAAACACTCTATTAATTATTAAGTGAAATATAATAAAGTTATAATTAATATATATATATATATGTCTTAATATTTTATATTTTTGAATGACGAGGGGATTCTAGAAAAAGTAGAAAATTTAAAATTTAATCTCAAATCCATTAATTAAATCCCTACCTAATTGATTCCTCATTCACGAGTGCGAGAAGCTTCCTCGTTGAGCAGATTCCATTTGCAAAAGCAGTGCAGCAAAGTAATAACTTTGTTCAACTTTTAGATATTGCGCACTTTTTCTTATTTCTGTGTGTGTGTGTGTGTGTGTGTGTGTGTGTTTTTTTTTTTTTTTTGCGTTTAGCGAGCTCACGAATTATCTCCTTTAGGCTTTATCGTAATGAGTGGAATTGAATCACCAACGGCTCTAGAAACAGTGTCGCTTTCGAGTCTGATACTCTTCGTGCGGGAGCGTGCCCGATTCGGAGAAGAAGGAAGCCGTTACAGGACAAATCGAAATGTCACCGGATAATAGTCACCGATGCGCTCACTATCTCTGAGCTACGTGTCGTTTACATGGCATGCACTGGTGCCACCTTGCGCTGCATTCGTCCCTCCTTTGCTGGGCTATTATATAACACCAATTACTTTCGCTCTTCGCAGCATTCACGTCACTTCGTTCCTGTTCCTTCTGTTTCTAATTCATGGATCTCATTCACACTTTCCTCAACCTCGTTGCTCCACCGTTCACCTTCTTTTCTCTCGCCCTCTTATTACCCGCATACTGGGCTCTCAAGTTCTTTCTCTGCACCTTAAACTCCATCTTTGCCGAGAATCCCGCCGGCAAAGTTGTCCTCATTACCGGTGCTTCCTCCGGCATCGGGGAGGTAATTTGTCACACACCTATATATATATATGTATATATTTTGCCCCAGTTTGCTGAATTCATTGTGATTTATTCATTAATGCCGTCAGTTTATGTTCATTTGCAGTATTTGGCGTACGAGTACGGTAAAAGAGGTGCTCGTTTAGCCCTCTCTGCTCGGAGGGAGAATGCACTGGGGGAAGTTGCTGATAGAGCGCGAGATTGTGGATCTCCTGATGTTATTATAATAAGCGCAGATGTTTCCAAGGTCGAAGATTGTTCCAGAATGGTCGACGAAACCGTGTCTCATTTTGGAAGATGTAAAACTCTCTTTCTCTGTCCCTCTCTTTATGATGTGTATTATGTTTTGATGTGAGAATGTTCGGTGCAGTGGATCACTTGGTCAATAATGCGGCTATTACCACTTCCAACTTATTCCAAGAAGTTAATGATATCACCAACTTGAGACCCATAATGGTAAAGGATCTTCTACACACACACACACACACACACACACGTATTTTATTCTGTTTTGTTTTCTCTGCTCAGTTCTTCAGTACTGTTGTGTGTTGTGACAGGAGACAAACTTCTGGGGTTCAGTGTACACAACTCGTTTTGCTCTGCCACATCTGAAAAACAGCAAAGGCAAGATCGTAGTAATGTCAAGTGTTGATGCTTGGATGCCAGCACCCAGAAGAAACGTGTATAGTGTAAGCCAGATGTAGCACCAATATATGCATAATATATTGTTTTCTTGTCATTAATTTATCTCTGTAATATCTAAATACTTGTTGTGGTCAGGCAAGCAAAGCGGCTCTAATTTCCATGTACGAGACACTGAGAGTGGAAGTTGGGTCTGAAATAGGCATAACAATAGTAACCCCAGGCTACATTGAGTCTGAAATAACCAAAGGCAAGTACCTGATGGGCGATGGCAGGGTGGAGGTAGATCAAGATCTAAGAGATGTAAGCACTTCTCATTACGATTCTAGACATGATTGATAACACTTATGCGAAGTTTGGTACACGGAGTTGTATCTGTTACATGTTCCTCCTGGAAAACTCTTTTTGGTGTACTAAATATTGGCGTCACATAATGGCGGTGGTGATGCAGGTTGAAGTGAGCGCAGTGGCAGTGGGATCAGCAAGTGGGTGTGCAAGAGAAATTGTGAAGAGTGTGGCGAGGGGAGATAGGTATTTGACGGTGCCATCATGGTTCAGAGTGACGTGCTTGGTGAAGGCATTGTGCCCAGAACTGGTGGAATGGGGCCTCAGGTTCATGTATATGAGTGGGGATTCGACCATGGAAGCGTATAGCAAGAAGATTCTGGATGCTTCTAGAGCCAAGAATGTGTTGTATCCTTCTTCCATCCAAACTCCTGACGTCAAGACCGATTGAAATCCAATGCAACTTTGTGCCTACCACTTTGATCATGTTTTCCCCCCCGCCCTTTTTTTTAAGTGCCTTCATGTGTTTTGTGTTATGAATTTCATACAGATCTTGTTACTATTTCATGAACATGTAACAAGAGAGTTTACTTTTTAAATGTTTTTTAAAGGAATGAGTAGATTTTATCAACAACAGAGACTTAATAGTTCTTTCTTAACCAAGTTGTTTTACATGTGTAAAAGTTGGCATTCAAATCTCCGATTACTTCTTTGTGTGATGACATTTACCATTCACGTTAATTGGGCATGTTGACCATTGTTGACCGTGGCATAATGGACAGCAACATTAAATTCAATATATTTTTTCAAGGATCATATAGAACATGTCCCGTTGAGTGAGACTTAGAATAGGTGCTGGGCCTGGTGTCCCAACTTGTTAAGCCTGTGGCAAATTAGTGGACTGAATGTCTTCGTGGTTCTCTGCAATGCTTTAAACTGCATGGCACAGGTTCAAGACTTGGCATCCCAAAAAAGAAGAAGAAGAAGAAGAAGAAGTGGACTGGACTTGTAAAAAAGCTCCAGGCGATTTAAGTATACAGACCGAGTGTTAGTAATCATTGTTCAGAATCCAAATTGATTTTTTTTTGTTTTTTAAAGAATTGCTCGCGTTTAGTGTCCCGTTGAAAAGAGAAGTGATCTGTAATTTTTTAAACAATTCAAATCATGAATTGGATTAATGGTGATATAGTTCAAATATAACAAAATCTGTAATTATTGTTCCATAGTATAATTCAAATTATTTAATGATATCCCAATCAACTGGATTAATATTGATATGAACCTGATCGCTTGAGACAATTAATTTGAATCGAAAATTGAAATTAATATAAAGATGTAATCTCAAAATTAAATTTAACTAACTTAAAATTAGTACGTTTTAAACATGAATGAAGGCATTTAAAACCCATTCTAATAGATTCAAGGAAAAATTAAGGAGAGGAATATAATACTGTTAAAATTTATTAGAAAGGATCATAAAAATTAAAATTAAAAGGAAAAAACTTATATACTTTGCCTTGTATACTTAATGTGATTGTATCTAATTAAATCATGATATATGAATCTTTTATAAATTATTTTTTTATAATAATTTTTTATTATTAATTAAATTAATATATAAAGATCCACATGTCATGATTTGATTTGATATAAGTATATTAAGTATATAATGTTAAGTATATAAGTCTTGCCCAAATCAAAATTAGGATGAAAGACCAAGATAAGTGCAATTAACTATTATAATTTTGGTATAAAACTTGTCAACAATCCTTTAAAATTAACATGGGATAATGTAAAGTTACAAGAACAGTCTTTTAAAAATAAGGTTCCGCAGTTTTCAATTCTATACACAAAAATAAAAAGTAATATTAAATTAAATCAATATAATTTTAAAAAACAATTCATTTCAAATAACTGAATTAATATGATTTTAAAATATTTACTTTTAAAAAACTAAATCATTATAATTTAAAAAATTAGAACGTCTTATCCACTTATAAATTTTCATGGAGGCGAGTTTCTAAGTATTAGTTTAACTTTGTTTTAATGTATTGTTTTTTTATCTCCTTGACATTGTTTGACAAAAATAAAAAGAAGTGTTATGAAACGTGCTAGAGATATAAAGTTTTAAAAGGATGGAAGAACATGTTTTTTAATCAAATATGGGAAACTCGAGCTCCTTTATCGCGGTTCACCTGAATGTAAGAATGCAAAATAAAAAAAATTAATGTGCACAGGGAAGTAGAGATATATTATTTAAAGAAAGAAATAGCAGGTTATGCTAGTCATATAATAAAAAAAATAAAGACTAAAACTATATGATAAAAAAATAAAATAAAGTAGTAGATGTGGAGTCTAAGACTGATAGTTTGTTAATATTGATGATGACTATTGAGAGAGAACTCCTCTATTTATAAATAATCTTGTCTTGATATCCAAGTTCTATGATCACCAGTTTTCTTGAATTTAAGAATCACTTCCACTATCGTGATTATTCATCATAGGTGAAGTGTGAATGACTTAGTATCTAAGGCTTTATAAATATATTTTTTTAATTGTTTTAAAGCTAATTAAATTGAGTTGAGTTTGGGTTTTTAAATTTATAATTTGAGTGCAATCAAATACACACACATGTGTGTGTAAAGAAAAAGTTTTCTCTTTTTTTTTTGCACAAAGAAATAGTTTTCTCTCCAATAATGAGTTTTTGTTAGTAAATGTTAAATACAACGTGTGAGTTAATTTGGAGCAATTTAGTATTTTTAAATTTATATTTTGATATTTGATCCTTTTAAATAATTAATATTTTTAGAATATCATGGTCCTTCGCTATAATTTTTCCTAGATTCAAATTGAGATCAAAATCGTGTGATACTGGCGATTCAAATGACAGATTAGGATTTAAATTGGTAAAATTACATTTACGTCTTTCAGAAAGAAATTTATCATCAAAAAGTCTTATAAATTTTATAAAATACTCCCAAATTCTACATTTTGTATATTGACAACTTAATTAAGAATATTGATAACTAGACAATGATCATTTATAACTTGTAAATAAAAATGATAACTTATAATAATAATTTATAAATAACTGTTTTCTAATTGTTAATATGTTTAGTAAAGTTATCAATATGCAAGATTTAAAATTTAAGAGTATTTTATAAAATTTATAAAATATTTCAGTAATAAACTTTCTTCTTTGAAATTTGACTGCTATTTTTCTATTTAAATTTTTACACATGGCATGATGAGAAAGTTTTCAGACTCGTTGCCTTGGAATAGAAGCATAATTTTTATAACACATGGAGTATTGCTTGATATGGATGGATGTATTGATAAATATTCCTCCGTCCATTTAATATTATCTAACTCTTTTAAAAGATTTACACCCTCCAATTAATGAGTTAGTTTATGATTTATAAAATTTTATTTTATTTTTAGATATTTTTTATTTAACAGGGTGTCTCAATTAAAAAATTGTCTTAATTACACATATTAATTAATAATATTTTTTTTAAAAATGTCATTAATTGCAGTTTGATAGACCCAATTAGGCAGACCAGGTAAAAATGTCATAAGCCATCTAAATAAAATTTTATATAATATTACTTTAATTGATTTTATTTTTGAATATATATTTAATTTTTTTATATTTTCTTTCTCTACTATCATAAATATCATAATCAATTTATGTTTAATGTCATCTGAATGTTATTTTATTAGACTAATCACAAATGATGTGACGCATTGAATCAATCTAAGAATTTCTCAAATGTCTTACTCTCTCTGTTAAAAAATATAAAATCTTTTTAACTGAATCATATTCTCCAATAAAATAGTTACTTGTCTTTAAACTAATCATATATTTCCATCTTTACCTATTCAATAAAATATTTCACTCTAAAATAAATATAAATTAATTTACTCAATAGAAAAAAGTTTTACATTTTTTAATATCCAACCTTTAAAAAAATACTTTATATTTTTGAATGGAGGAAGTATATTTTTAACATCTTGCCTAAAATAATGTCTAATGTTTTTTAACAAAGGGTGTAAATGAATTAAAAATGACTAATACTAAATAATTCTAATCTGTTATGAAAATAAGAAGAAAGAGAGAAAGAAAAGAGAATAGCAAGGTAAGAACGATTGAGAAAAAAATAAGGGAGTATATTTCATTCACTTAAGTATCCTAATACTTTCTTTCAACTATTAAAGCCTAACTTTAATATTGCAAATGAGTAAAGAACATGATAGCATGGTATATAACCTTTGAAGGTTATAAGGCATAACTTTGAGAAACTCATTTTAAGTTATCCATTGGAAGGTTATGGGATATAAAGAATCCTAAACATTATGAGTTATGAGCATTCACTCATATAATTATATAATATTCATAATACTCCCTATTGGATGTCCATAACAAATATTGTACCTCATTAAAACCTTATTAAGAAAAGCCCAATGGAATAAAAACCTAATAAAGGAAAAAAGGGTACACAATATTTTTAAACATTCATTAAAGTTGCTTCATTAAATTTTTTTTCAAAAAACATAGTGGGACAAAACCTTAGAGCGAAAAAAGGAGTACAACATGATATTTACTTCTTGTAGTCTTCCATTAGTAACAATATCACTTCACTCTCTTTAGTGACACCATCATTTTATGTCTTTGAATATGCGCATTCCAATACCATACACTAACTTCTCAAATGTCAAAGTTGGTAGTGTCTTGGTAAGCAAATATATAAGATTGTCACATAAGCGAATTTGTTGAATATCCATATCACCACTCTTCAAAGGGTCATAAGGAATTTATTTTTTGGAGAAATATGTTTTGTTCTATCTCCTTTGATGTATCCTCCTTTCAGTTGAGCTATGCACACTGTATTATCTTCATATAATATTGTTGGAATCTTTTTTTCCAACAATAAATTACACATCTTTTGGATATGATGAATCACTAAACTTAACCAAACACATTCTCTACCTATCTCATGAATTGCAATTATTTTTACATGATTTGATAAGGTACCAGTTAAAGTTTATTTTGTTGAATGTCAAGATATTGTTGTACCTCCACAACAAAAAAAATATTCAGTTTGTGATCGACCTTTACGTAGACTGATCAAAATCCTACATTTGTATAACCAATAAGTTGTGATCTAAATTTATTAGAATGAAATAATTCTATATTAATTATCCCTTGAAGATATCAAAATAAATATTTAACTCCATTCCAATGCTTTTTTGTTGGAGAAGAACTAAATCTTATTAATAAATTTATAGCAAATACAATATCAGGTCTTATTGAATTAGTAAGATAAATCAGTGCACCTATAGAACTAAGATATGGTACTTCAGGATCAAGAAGTTCTTCATCTTTCTTTGAGGGTAGAAAAGATCTTTTTTCTCGTTAAGAGATCCTACAACCATTGAAGTAGTTAATGGATGTGCTTTGTCCATATAAAATCACTTCAATATTTTTTTCAATATAAGTTAAGTGATGAAAAAAAAATTCCATTTGCTAAGTGCTTGATTTTTAAATGAAGACAAAATTTTGTTTTTCCAAGATCTTTCATTTCAAATTCTTTCTTTAAGCAACAAACTGCCTTTTAGAGCTCTTCAGAAGT